AAAGTACTGGTTATTACCTTTAAAGCCTTACACACTTTGGGTCCAGGTTACTTATGGGATCATCTTGTCCTGTATAATCTACTCCATACACTCAGATCTTCAGGGGATCATTTACTCCATTCATCCAGAGGACATTTTTTTCAGCCGCCCCCAAATTGTGGAATGACCCTCTGGAAGAGATTCGACATCTGAATCTAAAAGAGCATTAAAGGCCAGTCTCTTCCAGCAGGCCTATCCGGATGGTTTTTAAATGGCAAATGTAAATTATGAATGTTAAATTCTTTTGTTTCAATATGTATTTGCCTTATTTGGTTTGTTTTGTTTTAAATGGCTGCTGTGTGTTTTAACTGATTAAGAATCTCTTTAGCAAAATCTGAAAGCCGTTTTGTGTATTTAACTGATGTTATATGTTTTAACTGATGTTGTGTGTCGTATATTAATCTACTGTCATTCCCTGCCTCAATGCATGGGGAAAGGCAGGTGGGTAAGCAATTATTATTATTATTATTATTATTATTATTATTATTGAATGTATTTAGAGTCTTGGGGCTCAAGTGGCCAGATCAGGACTATCCCAGGCTATGATATTTTAGGGCTGCACAGAGAACCCCATTCAAATAACAACAGCAATGCAGACACCAGGACTAATAAATAAGGAAAATGCTTTTCAAGGCATTGCTCTCGCCCTACAATTCCTCCCCCATGTCCTGAGGACTGGAAAAGAGAGTCCAGGCCCCAGTCTTGTGACCAAGCCCTGAGATCTGGCAACCTTTGTTGGGATGATGGGATGAAATATTAGGAGCTTTAGTACGTCCGTCCACCTCTTTAGCTAAACTTCAACACTATTCCTGCCTTTTCCAGAGCCTGAAGAAAACTGAATTGTTTCATTGCAGGGAAGAGCAGGAATTGACGGGAAGAATGGCATGAAAGGAGCGAAAGGAGACCGAGGACTTCAGGGTCAAAAGGGAGAGCCAGTGAGTTGGGGATTTTTCCCTCGGAGGAAAGTGTTCTTTTTTTTAAAACTATAATTCCCAGAATCCCCCAATCTGC